ATGTTTAGGAAAGGAACTCGTCCCGAAAGCCGACATGCACGTTGTACCGAAAGGTGATTTGCATGTTGCCATTCAATACGCGAAAGAAATAGTAGCCAAAGCAATGGCTGAAGCAGGCCCATCTGGACTTGTAGATGGTAATTTGACTGGGTTCTTTCTTGTTGTAAAGGCATGAAGACGAGTTCTATGCGCTTATGATTTGTAGTATGGACTCCGTCAACTGTGTAACCAGAGTGAAGTGAGATTTTGACATGTTTTGGGTTTAACACTCTTTTCATATTGCAAAAGAGTTATCCCTCAAGAATCTCTGGCCACCCCAGTCTTGCTTCACCCTGATAAAGCGTGTACTGTCTTACAACAGAAAGAGTAGTGTTCTCCTCATATGCTTCAAGGAGTGCTTGTTATTGACGTGTTACTGTACATTGTTATGGTCACTGCATCTGCATGTCAAGTTAACGTAACCAGATTTAGTTTCCTCCGTTTCTGTACTCATCTTAGTGTACATGATTTTAGAAGCTCTCGCTAGGGAGGTGAAAGCACTCAGAAAAGAGAATGAGGAGATCAAAAAGGAATTGGCCGAGTTGCGTGAGACGATCGAAAGGTTTGCGCGTATGAATGCTATTCCGATGAAGGTATTCTATTCAATTGTGAAAACTTCTACTTTATACCTCAAAAGCAAATAGTTTGCCTTTTATAGTCAGCTGAGAAAGCCGCTCCAGCAAATGAGGCTAAGGAACCTGCTGCTGACGAAGACTTCGATCTCTTTGGCTCTGACGATGAGGAGGATGCAGAGAAGGCCAAAGTTGTAGAAGAACGTCTGAAAGCTTATGCTGAGAAGAAGTCCAAAAAGGTAACAGTAAGTTGTTTTTTGATTAGTTAAATATAACTAATCTCAGCCTGGACCAATCGCCAAGTCGTCCGTGATCCTTGATGTCAAACCATGGGACGACGAGACAGACCTCAAAGAGATGGAGGATCTCGTGCGCGGAATCGAGATGGATGGCCTCGTTTGGGGTGGAGCCAAGCTCATTCCCATTGGATATGGTAAGTAAAATGCAAATTTGTCATTTGAGAGCAAATTTTTCATTGTATACTTCGTAGGCATCAAGAAGCTGCAAATCATTTGCGTGATTGAAGACGAGAAGGTTTCCGTTGACGATTTGATCGATAAGATCACAGGCGATTTCGAAAGCCATGTGAGTTTTTCTCTTGAGAATTTTTCCCCGTCAGAGTTGGACTACTTCGAATCCTAACCACGGATTTTTACATTATTTCAGGTTCAATCTGTGGACATCGTTGCATTTAACAAGATTTAAATTCGTCTACTGCTCAAAATCAAGTTTCTCGGCCGAGTGTTCTTTCTTGTCAATTGAGTTATCGTGTGATAAAGGTTTAATGTTACGCATTTTTAAATCTGTGAGCCGAGTAGCTCCCCAAATTACTTATTGGGAGAACATTTATGGAATGGTAAGCAGTTCTGCTTAAAAGATTTTTTACTTAACATTGCAACATCGCCATACTTTTTTTTTCTTTGTTTTAGATTTTTTTACATCAAAGTTTATGGTTTATTTTCTGGATATTTTTACACAAAGAAGTATACTTTTAAATAGAAAATGCATATTAACGGTAAGTGATTAAGTGCAGTTGAGAAGGTTTTACATGAATGATGCAACAGATCATACATAGACAATTAGTTTCACGAAGATTTTAAGACACATGATGCTATCGCTGCGCAGGTGTTCGTTTCCCAAATTCATGCGCGATGTGAAACTACACCATGATTTCTAGGAGAGAGAGGATTACAAGAAATATAGAGCAACTTTC